ACAAACACGGTACCGCCAAGGCCGTTGAAACCAAAACACTTCCCGTCACAATCACCTCCTGAATTTGAATTGTTGCAACCACGCAGCCCATAATGCCCAAACTACCCCATTTGCCGCTACGCATGGCCCTTCCACCGGCCCCAACGATCCAGGTGACGTCGGCAGCGACCGAAAAGTTTGCAACGAAATGAGAGTCGCCGACGCCCCGGTATCTACAATAACCCGTACCATAACACCTTGAATGCATGCCATCACATCCGACGATCCCGGCGCGGCCCCCAACACACGATGTACCAACGCGCCCCACATATCCCTGCATACTATCCGAACTCGATGAATACGAGTGAGATGACACGGATGAGTGATGTGGATAGGGCGGCCCTGTATTGAATGCATCTCGACTCACCCGGGATCCTTGGTCTTGGGGGAACCGCCCGCTGTAGTTGTTCAGCGCCCTTGGAGGACCACCTCTCCGTCTCCAACAGTCGGGGGCGAGATAATCCCTCCTTCCACACTCGTAGCATGTCCGATGCACGCCGTCTCCATACACCCTGGGACGACGCCGTCGTTCTCCGGTCGACACCCCGGTCGCCGCTGCCATCGGCGGCGTCTCGTCCACCACCACCGCCACCGTGCTCCCGGCCCCGGCAACGGTCGTCAGCGACGGCTGCGCCACCGCCGCCGTTGATTCATCTCATATATCAAGGTTGACTTGTATGTTCCTGGCGATCAGCAACGATGACACGTCGTCGTCATCATCCTTGTCCGGGAGCGACAAGACGACTTTCAGTTCCTTCGCCAGCTGTGACATCTTCTCTTGCAGCAGGGAGTCCCAGCCCTCCTAATCCATCGCTGGGTACGCAACCTGGGCGAGGGCCAGCAAGGCGCTGCGGAATGCCAGGGGGGACTCCGTGGCCTCCCGTTTCCTCTGTTGAAATCGACGTTTGGCAACCGACCGCGGCTCGTAGACTTTCCTCATTGCTGCAATTGCACCGTCCAATGTTTTTCTGACAGCGGCAGGGAGTCCGTTAAAAGTCGCCAAGGAGTCATCATCCAATGCCGTCGGCAGTGCTCGTAACGCGGCACTCTCCGTCCATTTCAGGGACTCGTAAGCCGCACGGAATCTTCGTATGAACGCCGTGCAATCTCCCACTTTGGCCTCAAATCGTTGTACGTGTAGCCGTCGTGGCGGTCCCGCCGACCGGTCGTCTTCGTCGTCAGAGTCCTCCACCCGCTTTGGCTGAGCGGCAACCTCTGGCGGTAGAACCGGTACTGGTTGTTGAATGCGGTTCTCCGTCAAAAAGTTCCGGAACTCCTCCGACAACTTCTCCATCCTGGCCTCCCACTGGATCATGAGGACTCGCCAATCCTCTGGCGATCCCGGGCCCTCAGCACCACCCGAACCGCTGTCCCGGTCAGGAGTGCTGCCGGCCACCTGGCCGGGCTGTACATCGTCGTTGTTGCCGTCGCCATCCGAGTCCACTGACACATTTGTTTTCTTTGCCACTTTTTTGACATCGTGGCGTGTTCCGTACTTTTTCTGACACCAAATGTAGTGCCTTGGATTCACTCGGACGACAATTGCCTTTCTTCCACCGTCACTTTTATTTCCATCGTTCGGCACACTATAATTTCTCCTCTCCGCGCTCCGACAACTGGAACACTCGAATTCCCCTCAGCACCGTCCGCTCATACTCCTTGTCTCCACACACAGTCTCTTCTTCTCTCACTGCACACACAGTGTTCCTATCTCTATCTCCTCACACACAGTGACTCGTCTATCTCTTCACACACAGTGGCTCTGTCTATCTCTTCACACACAGTGACCTGTCTATCTCTTCACACGCAGTGATTCTGTCTATCTCATCACACACAGTGACCTGTCTATCTCCTCACAGTGACTTGTCTATCTCTTCACACACAGTGACTAGTCTATCGCTAACTCTCCCTGTACCTACCAATACCGTAATCTCCACTCTGCTCACGCTAACTCTCGCTATCGCTATTTATTGTCCTCTGGGTTCGGCTCTCAATCTATTTCCCACTAACACTTGCCGGGCTTCCACTCTTCGCATCTCTCTCTACCCGCTGCTGTCTCCACTTCTCGCCAACTCCCCCTCGTCCAAATCACCTAGCGTTTTTATCCCCTTTCCAATCAGCCTTAATTAATTGTCACGTGCCTCGGTGGCATTATCCTGCCAGCTCTGCACCTGTCCAACGGCCCAGACTCCGTGACGCCGCCACTTAACGGTAACAGCCTCTCAACCAATCACAGCCCTCATCCCTTGACTCCCTTAATTACTTTGGCTTGTTTACGCCACCCGGGACTTCATCACCTGATCGAACTTACATGACCCACACTGTTTGTATGTACTGTATATGGCCAACTTACCCATGTGTATTGTCTACGCCACTACACAAGTGTGTACCGGCTGTAGTAGTAGCTATACTAACTCTATAACAGTGTGTACCGGCTGTAGTAGTAGCTATACTAACTCTATTGCAGTGTGTACTCGCTGTAGTAGTAGCTATAGTAACTCTAGATCAGTGTGTACTGGCTGTAGGAGTAGCTATACTAGCTCTATATAAGTGTGTACCGGCTGTAGTAGTAGCTACACTAGCTCTTTATAAGTGTGTACCGGCTGTAATAGTAGCTATACTAACTTTATAGTATGGTGTACTGTCCGTAGTAGTAGCTATGCTAACTCTATGGCAGTGTGTACTGGCTGTCATATTAGCTATACTATCTCTATAGCAGTTTGTACTGTCAGTCATAATAGCTCTAATAACTCTATAGCAGTGTCTACTGGCTGTAGTCGTAGCTATACTAACTCTATATCAGTGTGTACTGGCTGTAGTAGTAACTATACCAACTCTATAGCAGTGTGTACTAGCGTACTAGTAACTATACTAACTCTATATCAGTGTGTACCGGCTGTAGTAGTAACTATACTAACTCTATAGCAGTGTGTACTCTCCGTAGTAGTAGCTATACTAACTCTATATCAGTGTGTACTGGCTGTAATAGTAACTATACTAACTCTATCAGTGTTTACCGGCTGTAATAGTAGCTATACTAGCTCTATAGCAGTGTGTACCAGCTGTAGTAGTAGCTATACTAACACTTTAACAGTGTGTACTGGCTGTAGTAGTAGCTATCCTAACTCTATAGCAGTGTGTACCGGCTGTAGTAGTAGCTATCCTAACTCTATAGCAGTGTGTACTGGCTGTAATAGTAGCTGTACTAACTGTATAGCATTGTATACCGGCTGTAGAAGTAGCTATACTAACTCTATTGCAGTGTGTACTGGTTGTAGTAGTAGCTACACTAACTCTATTGCAGTGTGTACTGGTAGTCGTAGTAGCTATACTAACTCTATAGCAATGTGTACTGGCTGTAATAGTGGCTATGCTAACTCTATATCAGTGTGTACCGGCTGTATTAGTAGCTATACTAACTCTATAGCAGCGTGTACTCTGCATAGTACTAGCTATACTTACTCTATAGCAGTGTGTACTCTCCATAATAGTAGCTATACTAACTATATTAGCGTGTACCGGCTGTAATAGTAGCTATACTAGCTCTATAGCAGTGTATACCGGCTGTAGTTATAGCTATACTAACTCTATAGCAGTATTTACTGGCTGTAATAGTAGCTATACTAGCTATATAGCAGTGTGTACCAGCTGTAGTAGTAGCTATACTAACTCTATAAGTGTGTACCGGCTGTAGTAGTAGCTATACTAACTATATAGCAGTGTGTAATGGCTGTAGTGGTAGCTATACTAATGTAGAGGAGTATTGTGAGTAACCAATGAGGGGGCGAGCAGAAGGAGGTGCGAGCGCGTTGACAGTCAAGAATGACGTAACGTCACGGGTTACGTAAAGGGCTTTGGAGAGCACATTCGGGAACATGGGCGGAGCTGAGTTGGGGGGTGGAGCCGCACAAAGGGTTCTTCAGGGGGGCCCCGTAACGGAGACGTGGTCGTCATATAGAGCCAAGGTAAGCATCGGCTGAAAGAAGGTCTCTCTCCTCGTCGTAGAGTGGTGTTGGCCGAACCCCCGCTCTGGGCAGATGAAGCTCTCGAATCCACCGGCCCTCGGTGCGCGCACCAAGCGCATGGCCCGGTGTGCCGTGACAGGGTTTTCATGTGAGGTTCTCGAGGGACTACATTTACGGGACCTTTTTTGCCAGGATCAAAGTACGAAAAATAAGAATAAGTTTTACCCTTTCTGCCAATAAATCAGGTGGTAAGATGGAATCAAGTCTGCAGTTGCCACATGTGCTTGTGGTGAACATGTACTGTTCACCTTTCGGCATTCTCTGGTCGAACACTGGTGAGACAAGGCCATAAAAAGGCTGTCTCTGCTGTAGGCCATTTCCGCGATCTCCATGAGCACGTCCAGTATGTTACCTCAAACAGCTAGACGCCAGCAATGTACGTGAACATTTGCATGGCATCAAATGGCTAGACGCATGCCGGCAATGTACATGAACATTTGCATGGCATCAAATGGCTAGATGCGTGCTGGCAATGTTCGTAAATATTTGCATTGTATCAAGCGACTAGATGCATGCCGTCAACATACGTGAAGATTTGCATTGCATCAAACGGCTAGTCACAGCTTCTGTAAGAAAGCAAGGCCCGCACTCTTTGGTTATTTTATACGTAGGTATAAAATAATATAAATTAAATCACGATGTTTCGATTGCAACACAAGCAATGCAAATTACTTTACCGAAAGAACCAAAGATCAAGGCCCACACTTAAGTGGAACCGCCATTGAGGGGTGGCGGTAGGCTCCATGTCCCCTGTAGGCCAGCAGCTCATTGCCTATATCCGACAACTCTCCCTGCATCACGTGGGATAAATCTTGCTTTGTACAATGTCAACGGTATGCTTAATATCAAACGTATAAATAAATAAATAAACGCTGTTCGTTTGCACAGTAAAAACATTGATTTGTAATTGAACCAAAAGATGTCGCTTAAGTTTCCTGAATTTCATAATTAAGTTTATTTAAATACAGCAATGAATTTTATACAATTAGGTTAACTTTACCGTGAGGCGACCATTTAAAATGCAGGCTTGGCTCTGAAGAGTTTTTCATTTAATTTTCATCTTTTCAAATAAACTCCCTAATTTGCAGCGTTTGACGAACTCAGCCAAGGGGTTTCCGCGAACGGTAGGTGTGTAATCAATCAGATCGCCCGGCAGCACACACTCTGGTTACTAAGTAATCGATCAAATCCCCCGGCAGCACACACTCTGGTTGCTATGTAACCGATCAGATCCGACGGCAGTACACACTCGGGTTGCTGTGTGACCGATTAGATCCGCCTGCAGCACACACTCCGATTGATGTGTGACTGATCGGAAATTCCCCTGGCAGCACACACTCTGGTTGCTGTGTAATCAATCAGATCCCTCGGCAGCACACACTCCGGTTGCTGTGTAACCAACAAAATCCTCCGGCAGCGCACATTCTGATTGCTGTGTAACCGATCAGGTCCCCCAGCACCACACACTCCGGTTGCTGTGTAACCGATCAGATCCCCCTGCAGCACACACTCCGATTGATGTGTAACTGATCGGAAACTCTACTGGCAGCACACACTGGTTGCTGTGTAATCAATCAGATCCCTCGGCAGCACACACGCCATTTGCTGTGCAACTGATCAAGATCCCCCCTGGCAGCACACACTACGGTTGCTGCATAACCGATCAGATCTCTCGGCAGCAGACACTCCGGTTTCTGCATAACCAACAAAATCCTCCGGCAGCGCACATTCCGATTGCTGTGTAACCGATGAGACCCCCCTGCAGCACACACTTCCATTGCTGTGTAACTGATCAAGATCCCCCCTGGCAGCACACACTTCGGTTGCTGTGTAACTGATCAGATCTCCCGGCAGCAAATACTCCGGTTTCTGCATAACCAACAAAATCCTCTGGCAGCACACATTCCGATTGCTGTGTAACCAATTAAATCCCCCAGCTCCACACACTCCGGTTGCTGTGTAACCGATGAGATCCCCCGGCAGCACACACTTCGATTGCTGTGTGACCAATCAGATCTCTCTGCAGCACAGACTCCGATTGCTGTGTAACTGATCGGAAACACCCCTCGCAGCACACACTCTGGTTGCTGTGTAATCAATCAGATCCCTTGGCAGCACACACTCTGGTTACTGTGTAACCAATGAGATCCCCCTGCAGCACACATACTTTGGATGCTGTGTAACCGATCAGATCCCCCAGCAGGACACACACCGGTTGCTGTGTAACTGATCGGATCCCCTGGCAGCACACACTCCGGTAAGCTGTGTAACTGATCACATCCCCCAGTAGCACACACTCTGGTTAATGTGTGCCCAATCAGATTCCCGGCAGCACACACTCCGTTCTGCTGCGTCACCGATGAACACCAAAGCTGGCCATCGCAGTACGTTGGGCAGCGCAGCTTGGCAAAGTTGAATTTGAATCTCTCTCCGTCCCGAATTTCAGATTCAGTTGCAAGTTTAAAGCTTTCCGGACGTTATCAGTTTGCTGATTTTCTGGTTTAAAATGACCGATTTCATCTCGAGGTTATCTTTCTCTATCCTCAATTTTTCGATCTCCAGCTTTAACTTTTGAGCCTCGAGCAACAAGACGGTCTTCTTCAGGGCCATGATGTCATCTGGTGTTGTTCTGTTTGATTTCAGCGAGGAGAAATCCTTTTTCTTATTCTTCATCTCCTCCCTAAAAACACGAAATGGGAAAACACGGTTCATGTCACAGGGGTTGATGAACGAATATCGAGTAAACCAGTAACCGCTTTCACAAGCAATGTAAAAATGTGTACGTGTTTATTTATTTTGTGCAGCATCTTTGACAAAAATCAATGTCCCAAAGCATTGTACGATCTCAAATTAACTTACAAAAAAACGAATTATCAATAATGTAATATTTAGTATCCCCGATAGTAAAAATAATTGATAAAATTTTAAGTTTGTAACATTTCTTATTTAAAATTTCTTCATTGCCTCTTTTTTTGTGAAGTGTGTTTTAAAAATGGACGTATTAGTGGGCAAATGACATTCGTCTTCTGACCACTTCAACATCACGAGAACTTAATATGACGCACCATCATCCCCGCACGATTTTCTGACTGGGGCTTATGAACCGCAGGAAAATAAATAATTATTTAGAAAAAAATATTTCTTTATTTTTATACCATGCATCACGGGTGGATCACCAATACGTTCATATGTGTGTGGGTGGCGTGTGTCGCACACACAGTCAGCCGGAGACGTGGTGGTCGCAGGAGGCACTGCTCTGCTCTCTTTATTCGTTATTTCCGAGCTCACGCCACCACTCAGGCTCCCTCTCTCTCTCTCACACATGACCCCGCTGCCGCGTGCCCCGTCTTAGACACGACCCTGTCCGCGTTGCACCGACGGTGTCGACCAGGACAGCCAACGACTGTCCGGCCGTGCAATGATCGGGTGAAGGCGGCAGCGACGAGGGCGGCGACGACGACAGTGACGATGACAGTGACGACAGTGACGACGACAGTGACGACAGTGACGACGACAGTGACGACGACAGTGACGACGACAGTGACGACGACAGTGGCGACGACAGTGACGATGACAGTGACGATGACAGTGACGACGACAGTGACAACGAGGGTTCCAGGAGCTTCCACATGAGGTCTATCATGACCCTTACCCCACTTCCTCTGCCTTGCTGGCACACCCGCGTATATGCTCAGCGGCGTGTACGCTAAGTGCCCACCTGCAGTTGCTGCTGCTGTCCAACAGTCAGCGCTATGTCACTACATCACCCCCACCCCCCCCCCCCCCCGTTAAAAAACAGCCGTCCCAGCTGTCAACACAGTATCAGCAACCGGCGGCAGGCAAAGCAACACCCTTAAACCGAGGAACCTCAATGACAAAAAAACCTCCCTCACAATCCCGTTACAACCGTGACATCTCCTGCATCAACAATGCGTTCCACTGCTCCCCAGTGCCCCCCCGGTAACAAACCAACACTTTTGATTTAAAGCTTTCGTGACTGCAGTAATTCATATTCTTAGTTTTTTCGGTAAAGTCACGTTGAAGAGAAACAACAAAATAACAAAATATATATTTTATTGTTTTATATATATTTTGTTGTTTCTCTTCAACGTGACTTTACCGAAAAAACTAAGAATATAAACCAACACTTCCTTACACAGCGTCCTCGAATTCGCGAATCAACGGATCCCTCACAGCCCCCCATCCACGAATTGCCGACCCCCCCCCCCATACCCAGGCCCTTAACCCCAACACCCATTCACCCCCCGAGTCCCCTCTCAGTGCAAGGGAGTGTCCCCCCAATCGGGGACGTAGCTCAAGTGATCCAGTCCAAAGCGCCGGTCACCCCCGTCCCAGCAGGGTCCTGCACCTCTGGAACCCGGAGGGCCAAGAGACGATGGAGACAGAGTCCTCGGCATCGCCTGCCGGGTCCGGTGCCTGAGGCCTCGCTCTTGGTGGTCTAGTTAGACCCCAGAGACCCAGTCCGACGGGGGTTTAAGTTGATTGGGCCGGCGGCCCATCGAGCACAGGTGACTCCCCCTGATGTCACTCGTCACCCCGGCAGTCCATAGCAGTGTGGCCTGACCGAACACACACGAAACATTTTGGCGCAGCTCTCCACGGCAGAGTGAGCTGTTCCCACAGCGGGTCCTCCTGCAGGGGTGTTAACACTTGGGTCCCCCTTCTGTCCACCGCCGCCAGCATATCTTGTAAAATCCACGCTGAGGCCTCCCACCTTGCCCGCTGCTATTGCCCCTCGTAGACTTAGATGGTTCTGGCCACCGTTGAGGAAGAAATCTCTGTGCCGACTGCAGAGGGCAGGCCAACCCTAAATCTCCTCGCCAGTCCCCGCAGCCTCTCCACCTCACAAAGGTCGAGTGCCCCCTCACCCACGAGTATGCCTCCTCTCCCAGCACCAGCAGCACTGTCCGGACGGCGTAGGGCGTCTCGTCCTCCATCCGCTCCCTCTGGAGGAATGTGCGAGCCTTCCGCGGCAGATCAGGAGCGGCCTCTAGCAGCTCCCTCACTCGCCGCGCCTAAGAGCTCTCCCGCTCTCGCCTCAAAATGGCGCCCCTTGGCCACGGGAGGTCCTCCGATGACAAAATGACGCCCACCATGTGCGTGGTCCCTCGTCCGGAGCTCCCTGCTTCCGCTCCGACGGCAGCTCCCGCTCCATTTTCCCCGCTCTCCTCTGGGGTCCGCGCCTCGTGCCGGCCCACGCCCCTCTCCAGATGGCGGTTTGCCGCCATGCTGCTTGGTCGGCGCTTGACCACGGGAAATCTCGGCTGCTTTCCCCGTCGACGCGCGGCTTCCACTCTCTCTCCGTCGACATGTAGCCCCTGTTTTCTCCGTCGACATGCAGTCGCTCTCCGACGACTCGCAACCGCTCTCTCTCTTCGTCGACGCTCTCTCGCTCCCGCCACCTGGTGTAGCACTCTAGCCATCGACGCTCAGCCGCTCTCTTTCGTCGACTTGCTGCTTCTCTCTTTGTCCACGCCCAGCAGCTCTCTGTCGGTCGATGCGCAGCCTCAGAGGTTTTTTTTACCGGGTTCCCAGATCCTGGGGCTGTCAGAGGGTCGACTGTCTCGCCGTCCTCATCCCGACGACACTGCTGGTGGGTTTTTATATCCCACTTCTGACACCAAATGTAGTGTCGTCTGTGTGTGCGGGTGGCATGTGTTGCACACACAGTCAGCTGGAGACGACGTGGTCCCTCTTTCTCTCACACACGACTCCGCTGCCGCGCGCCCCGTCCCAGACATGACCCTGTCCACGTTGCACCGACGGCGACGACTGGGACAGCCAACTACTGTTCGGTTGCGCAATGATCAGGCGAAGGCAGCAGCGATGAGGGCAGCGATGACGACAGCGACGACGAGACGAGTCCAATCCCAGAACCGGCAGCCCAGAGCTCTCGCTCTGCACTTATATTCCCCTCGGCATGGCTTGGCTCCGTCCTAGCTGCGGCTTGGCTCTGTCCTAACTGCGCCTCCCTTCTCGAACCCTCCGGAGGGTTCCAGGGGCTTCCACACAAGGTCTATCATGACCCTTGCCCCAGTTCCTCCGCTCTACCGGCACACCCGTATATATGCTCAGCAGCGTGTGCGCTAAGTGCCCACCTGCTGTTGCTGCAGCTGTCCAACAGTCAGTGCTATCTCACTACACGTGTAATTGTTTATTGTCAAATCGATAAGTCGAGACATGCTCAATTCTGTGCTCTTCAGTTACCTGATCACTGTGTCCTCAGCAAGACCCTGGTCCCAGCTTAGCACGAGCTCTCACAAGAGGCAAGAGACGGCTACAGAGCAGCTACATACACGCGCTCGAACGTACAAATGGTCAGGTGGCCTCACTCATAAGCATGCTCCGTTTTACCCTCGTTTCTCAGTCCCTACCATTGGTCAGTCACATCACTGCTGGTTGGTAGGGTTCCATTATCCAGGGAACACTAGAGTAGTAGTTTGCCGACTCTTCCCACGGTGATCAGACCAGCCATCATTTAAGTGGTGGTGGGAGCATATCCAACTTTATTCCACCACGTGCGACCTTCCTTTCTCCCGACTCACGTTTACTGAAATAGCTATGGATGTTTTTAACCTCGTATTCAATCATATGTAGGCTATAACTACATTATTTTAGTTGCACCATATATTGAGTTTAGAGGAAGAGTCTCACAGTGACAGTATTGATTAAAACAACATTTGAAGGCACAATACTCACAAGTTATTGTGCGGCTTGGTCTAGGACTTTCTCAAGGAGGGTGGATCGCACAAATGTATGCTGTTCTATTGATACAATAGCCAGGTGCGTTCATCGGGCATGGTCCATGGTAGACTTCAGGTAATTTTCAATGAATACATGTTTCAAAATAAATTTTCTTACCTTGTTGTTACTTGTTTATCTGTTGATTCGGGGCCCCCTTGTGGCTGACTGGGCCCCAATGTGTTACAGAACGACGCCTAGGAGAAACTTGCCCTATTGTCTCAACCGCCGCACCGGGAGATTGGAGTCAAACCGCTGCTGACTATTTCACCACTGTAGCAGCTTCCTTAGTTTCTTAGTTCATACTAGCGGGAAGTACCCGGCGTTGCCCAGGCGATAAAGCCACACACATCGACTTAGACACACACAGACATCGACCCACACACACAAACACATCGACTTACACACACACATATGGACTAAAACACACACATCGACTCACACACACACATTGACTTACACACACGCATACTGACTAACACACACATGGACTGACACACACATCGATTCACACACATCGATTTACACATGCACATAAATAGCGACTGACATACATTGCCTGAATATGACCACTTTTGTTGCGATCGAAACGTCGTGATTTGTTTTATTTAATTTTATTTCTAACTACGTGACTTTATTTCGATTTAAAGATTTCGTGACTGCAAGGATTCATCTTCTTTGGTTCTTTCGGTAAAGTCATGTAGAATGAGAATAAAATAATAAAATAAAATAAAACAATCAAATTATCACGACGTTTCGGCCACAACACAAGTAGCCTTCATCAGGTGAAAGAACAGAACTGTCGGGACGACAGTTCTGTTCTTATGTGACTTTACGTGACTTTACCAAAAGAACAAAAGAAGATACGTGACTTTACTGAAAGAACCAAGAGTATACACACACACACATGGAGTTACA